TTGTCTCCGATGTTCCCATAGGAATGAAGAGATTTCGTTTTTAAATATGTATGAAATCACATAAATACAGCTTCTATTAACCTTACTATTACAAGAACTATCTCAATTTAACCTTACTATTACAAGAACTATCTCAATTTAATCTTACTATTACAAGAATTATCTCAATTTAACCTTACTATTACAAGAACAATATCAATTTAATCTTACTATGACAAGAATTATCTCAATTTAACCTTACTATTACAAGAACAATATCAATTTAACCTTACTATTACAAGAACTATATCAATTTAACCTTACTATTACAAGAATTATCTCAATTTAACCTTACTATTACAATAATTATCTCAATTTAACCTTACTATTACAATAATTATCTCAATTTAACCTTACTATTACAAGAACAATATCAATTTAACCTTACTATTACAAGAACAATATCAATTTAACCTTACTATTACAAGAATTATTTCAATTTAACCTAACTATTACAAGAACTATCTCAATTTAACCTTACTATTACAAGAATTATCTCAATTTAACCTTACTATTACAAGAACAATATCAATTTAATCTTACTATGACAAAAATTATCTCAATTTAACCTTACTACTACAATAACAATATCAATTTAACCTAACTATTACAAGAATTATCTCAATTTAACCTTACTATTACAAGAACAATATCAATTTAATCTTACTATGACAAGAATTATCTCAATTTAACCTTACTATTACAAGAACAATATCAATTTAACCTTACTATTACAATAACAATATCAATTTAACCTAACTATTACAAGAACTATCTCAATTTAACCTTACTATTACAAGAATTATCTCAATTTATTCTTACTATTACAAGAACAATATCAATGTAATCTTACTTTTACAAGAATTATCTCAAGACGACATATGGTGCATATTAAAACACATAACATACAAAAAATAAATAACTGTATAGTATGTAATCTATACACTTAATTCTTACTTTGATAACATTTCAAATTTATTTCTAATTTATCACTGAACATTTCCCCAAATGTAATGAAATATAGCAGTAAAACTATTATATATATATAAGTTTTTTTAGACCATTGTATTTGAACTAGCATCAAAACACTTTTGACGTAAGAAACTGTATAACATTTCACCTACGTTTCGTTTGTACTTGTCTGTACTGATTTGTCTGAAAGTGTACATGTGTGTGATAAATTATCTAGAGAACTTACACCTTCCAACATCGAAACGTATGGAGTAGTTTTGATACTAAATTCAATATATTTCAAATTATGTAGTTGGCGACCTTTGGTGAAAACATCCAGTACAGAAAAGACAAATATAATTCACATAAGTTAGTAATGTTTCAGCAAAACGCAAATACCATTGTACTAAAAAACAAACAAACAATTTCTATTTTGTATTTTGTATTTACGGCCAATTTATTAATTTTGAACTACAGTCCAGAGGTAAGGTAGCCAATCAACAGCATCCCACCTACCAATAACGCTAAGAGACTGACTGTCACTCTTAAAACACACCTACACTTTAAACTGCAAGGCTAATCCGTGCCACAAAAAGAAGAATATAAATGAAAACTAAAATTAATAAACTACACGATTTTCGACATATTAAACTATTTACGTAAGATATATTTGTATTATATATACATAAGATACGTCCCCCAGTGGCACAGCCGTATGTCTGCAGAGCACAGATAGCCCATTGTGTAGGTTTGTGCTTAATTACAAACAATTACAATTACATGAGATACCTGGAGAACTTTACAACATCGAAACCTATGCATACTGTGAACATGAGATTTTGAAAAACAATAGCTTTTAAAGCTCTTCAGAAACATATACGTGGAAGTGATTATATCTACGTACAACCATACGTTTTTAGCACATGCTGCAATAAAACTTCCAAACACTACGTAACTTACTGTAAGTTTGTTTGGTTTAATTTTTTTAAAGCGAATCAGATTTTAGCATTGTGAGTCCGTAAGATCACCGCAGTCCTATCGAGTGACGGAAATTACTACACGATAAAACATCTTTACCTCCTTACAACATAAAACCTTGCATTTAGCAATAAGAATTAGTTACATGCGTAATGCGCAACATTACCAAATCCAAAGGATCAGGAAAAATAACACACACATATATATATATGTTGTGTGGGGAACATATAACACAGTTTTCGTTTGATATGGTTTGTTTGGAATTTCGCGCAAAGCTATACGAGGACTATCTGCGCTAGTGGTCCCTAACTTAGCAGTGATAGACTAGAGGCAAGGCAGCAAGTCAATACCACCCACCGCCGACTCTTCGACTACTCTTTTACCCACAAATAGTGGGATTGACTGAAAGAGCGAGCATGTTTGGTGTGACGAGGATTCGAACCCATGACTCGCAGATTGCGAATCGAGCGCCCAAACCACCAGGCAATGCCAGGTCTATTTTCGTTCAAAAAATTGATTAGCATCTAAAGATTTATGAATTTGGGTGGTCCATGTTCAATTTTTTGGTGATTTTGCCACCCCAAGAAAATATTGGGAATGTTCCCTGTATTATTTGACTCTCAGATAATTATTAAATAATGCATACTTATTATTACTTTTTCCATTTTTCTCTTTCGTAGTTTACCTGAACCACGTTTAGCGCACCCCTATGGTAAATATAACTTAGCAGCTATAACAATTCAAATTTGGGAGTCATTTCAAAAGCATTGTAATAAAATATGACATTTCATTTATCCGATTTCGTTAGCTATCAAGACTCAGCTGGCTTTACTATCAAAGAAACTTTTAGCCTCCAGAAAAATATTAACCTAGTAGCATCATTTAGGGTAGCGTGTGTTTTTCTTATGGCAAAGCCACATCAGGCTATTTGCTGTGTCCAACGAGGGGAATCGAACCCCTATTTTAGTGTTGTAAATCCGTAGACTTACCGATGTCCCACCGGGGAACATATCAAGGGCAGCAAAGAAGGTTTACTACACTTTAAAAAAGTTACAATAAAATAAACGAACTTGCCGAAATGAAACAAAAACAACACTCATAAAACTTTATAACTGAAACTTCACGAATAAAATTGTTTGACCTTTGATATCTAGAAACCTTGTTCAATTTCTGCCCGAAAATGCCTATTTAGGGGCAATGTTATAAATAATAGAAGCCCGGAATAGTACTAAACATACTTTTTTAACTCTTAATGGAGTATAAATTTTGCTTAATCAATTTAATAATCAAATAGAAAAATAACGAATAAGCTACGAAAAGGTTGGATTTATCCAGTGCTACTTCAAGTAACTTGTTACTATTTTCCGGCAATTAACAAAATATTGTAACATCAAAGTGAAAAAAACAAAAGCATTTAGTATGCCCCTTTACTACCAATATTATAAACCTGGGCCGAACGTGGCTTAGCGATTAGTATGCGTCAGGACTATGAAGCCAAGGATTCAAGGTTGGTTCAAATTCTATCTGCGCAAAAATGCTTTCAGTACTTTATGGGACGTGGGTACGTTATAAGAGTGACAGTCAAACCCCACTATTCAGTCCAGTAAGACAAGAATAGCCCAAAAGGTGGCAGTGGGTGCTGTTTCCTGGCCGCTTTCCCTCTAGTCTATCAGTTCAAAATTAGGGAAGTTATGCTTAAATAGCTTCTGTGTGTTGCCTTTTGTGAAAATTTTGAAATTCTCTGTACATACCTAACTTAAGCACTTTATAAGGTTCAGGGATATCTGTATATGAAGCAATTCCCACAACCTTTACCCGCATACTGATTCTGAGTTGCTATGCACATTGAAAATAAAAAAAACATTATACAGCGCAGGTGTTATCTAGAAAATGGAGTATAGGATGAACTTGCGAAGAAATTCTTGTCAAAGAGAAGTGTTTTTAGAAGAAATGTCTGTCAGGTTTTATATATCAGTGATGAAAGTAGTCTACCTGTTATATGATACGGTCATAGGCAATTCAGACTATCTGACAGTTCGTCTTTTCTAACATCATGTTAAAGGCCAGGAAAAGTCATCCTCACACATATTACTTTTCCAACTAAATATTAAAGGCCTGAAATAGTCATCCACACATATTTCATTTCTAATTTAATGGTAAAGGCCTGGAAAATTGATCCACATATATTTTACTTTTCTAACTAATGGGTAAAGGTCTGGAAAAGTCATTCCCACATATTCCATTTCTAGCTTAATGGTAAAGGCCTGGAAAAGTCATCCACACGTGTTATTTTGCAGTGGTGGAAAGTTCGTAATGCGGGAAAGGTCACACTTCTCTACAACACATGTATATGCAACATAGAGGCAGAAGCCTGGGAAAACGATATACGGTTTATGATATCTGGAAGGACTATCCTGAAATACACTTAATTTTTGTAATCCTGTGATAAGAGTAGCAGAAAAGGTGCAATATCTCGAATGTTAATTTAAATCCAACACACTTTAAAAGCTATTATGGTGAGATCACACACCCTAAAAACACGTCGAGGTAGTCTCATGTCATTTGAGTATAATGTTTTCAAGCTGCATAGAAACATGAGTGGTTTTTTCTTTACTTTCTTACTGTATAACATGCATCAGTGTACCGAACACGACTCCTTAAAAATTTGCTCGTGAAACGCATACCATTTTGATAAATGTAAAGCAAAACTGGAACACAGTCGTTCCATTAAAATATTTAGTCAGAGATATTCAAAATGGAGCTTTGAGAGCGAAATCAAACTTATTAAAGATATTAGAAAAAAAAAGCTCTTTGCATGTAAATAGACTATATTTTCGAGCTTATATACTCTTTATATTTTTATTTTTCAACAAATTGCTTAAGTCATATTATACGCATATTTTATCAATAAAAAATGGATGTTAAGCTTCAAAATTTGTAAATGTTTCAATTATATAGAAGAAGGAATATTTATACGTGAACTATTTTCACGCACGACACTCCTGTAGTTAATTTTTGTTTAAAAATCTCACCTGGTTGCTCCTCTTCAAGCCAAGTTATTAAGTGAAACCTGTCATCAACTAATAATAATCACAAAAGTATTCTAGCGTTCAAACTGATCGCTTCTACCTTCTTGACCAAAAAAAGAAAAAGACAGATTACGGACGTGTAGCTAAGCAGTGTCATTGATGACTTCTAAACTCAAAACTTCCGCACTTGATGTCTGAACATAACAGGAATTGTCAATCTTCTTTAAGACTCCGATAACACTTCTAATATCTGTTATCATAGCTCTATGGGTCGCGTTGATTAACGTCTGAGACAGGAATAAGAAATACTTATAAGTATTGATACTAAGCTTCAGTTGAGTTAAACCACTCGAAAACCACTAGTAATACAAATCTTATGATCATATACATATATACATATTAAAGACTTACGTCGTGTTACCTTTTATCTAAATTTTTACAAGAGCATAGAAGGTACAAACAAACCACCCCATATGTTTGACGTCAGAGAATGCGTCGTCGACACAGCTTCAAGTATAACAACGAGGTTCTTTGCGCACATGGTGCTCGTTCAGCGATAAAAACCTGAGTCTAAATACCAAAGGTTAAGCTGTCTTCGAAAGCAGCATGGTAGGCCGTCACCAATATCCGCCAATATAGGAGGAGTGGGAAGGAGGGGCAAAAGCTCGCACTTCAAGCCCGCCCTTTATATACACACATACATATTCCATACATTTGAAGAATAAAACTTATAGAATAAGTTTTCACTATAACAAACAGTTTGGCATTCAACCATTTGTTAAACACAAACATACCAAAACAGAAAAAATAAAATACTTTTATTATCACAGCTGTCTGCCTAAAACCAGGTCGTCCAGAACTTACCAACTTTTAGTATTGCCAACTAGAATAACATAAACGTTTCTGTAAATGTTTGTATTTATTTACTTACCTAGCAGTTTCAGGGCATTATTATTAATAATGACGCGAATAAAACCAAAAGTTAAGCGCCTTAAACAATAAAAAGATTTTTTTCTGGGATGATATAACGAAATGCTTAAAAAAGACAAACAATAATTGAAAAATTAACGAAATTTAATAAAAACGAAAGTAATACATATTATACGTGTAGAGTGGAAAACACAACCTCAATCAGTTATGAACATTATTAAAAATATATAGCGGGTGTTTTGACATGTCAGTTATGATAACACCGAACCTTGCAATTTCATGTGAATAGCGTACATAAAACCTCATACATTTATATTAACTAGAATTCATATGGCTACAACTATATAACTGTAATTGCCTTAAACACCTCATATAAATTAAGCAAGGTGTCAAATACTAAAAAAAATATGTTAAAACAAACGTATGGAATTCCAAGAAGTCACAATCACTCCTTGCAAACACTCTTCTCTGCAGTACACCAATCGTCATCAGACGAAGCTTCCATTTATGTCATTGTAAGCTGTGAATGAGGAATCCTATGGGGTGTTTATGTATACACTGTAGAATGCATTAAACGCAAACTTTGTCCTGCCAGTATTATCATGGGAGAACATACATTAAACTGAATGTGGAATAAGCTTATTATGTCTCTGTTGCTAGCTCCTCCTAGTCCTATTGTACCTTATTTTTGTTTATTGTACAAAAGGTTTCTTTCATTACTCTTATACTTGAAACTGGAAACTTTAAAAATGACATCTTACAATTATCAGAGATGCTGTTTTTCGAATATGGTAATGAAGAACAACAGAAACTATGCAATTTACACCTCAAGATGTCTTGTAATTTACATTTTGATTAGACAAAATTTTAGGTTTACAGTATGTACATTACCTCCACATTTACTTTAATCTATTGCTATTTGTATAACATTCATAGATTAACTTTCAATACACTTCAGTTTTAGTGCTTACAAAACACAAAGAAAAACATATTTAGCAAACGTTTTCTGTGTTATGTTAAGAGGGTAACAAAAGTGTTTGACCAAATAAAAGTATTAACCTAGTAATGAGTTTTAATCTCATTTCAACTGCAATTATATTCTGGCATAATTAGGTTCAATAATGTGGTATTCTTTACCATTTGTTTAGCTGAGCTGGTAAGAGTTGATAAAGCTGCAGTTCTCAACTAATCATGGTAAGTGATTTTTTATCAAGTGTAGTTAACTATTACATATATTCTATGTGTCTTGGTGCTGTAATCTCACCTTTAAAGTACTTTCTGCTGTATTAGTTTTCCAAAAGATGAGATCTTAAATATTTATATTTGAAATATGTGTACTATTTTTTATGTGTACCTAACTCAGTTTGAAACTATTTTACTTGCTTTCAAATGAAATACAAAACTGAAACAGTTGCAAACATTGAAGGAATCTCTGAATTAAATTTTACATAGTTTAAAAAACTATGATTTTGTGCCTAGCTTGTAACTAATTTTAAATATGTTATTTATTCCTGAATAAACAAATAAATATGTTTAAAAACCTCTTTTTTTTAAACATCATTTTTCACTAGGTTTACCTAGCAACATCAAGTGGCAAAAAGAAAGAAAATAAAAAATAGGCTGTTCAACATATTTATTTGTTTATCAATAAACAAAGTAATAAAAATTTAGTTTGACAAGTTCTTCCGATAAATCATTCTAATTTTAACTATATCCTTTTTGTCAAAATATAGGGAGTTGACTGCACTTTATAAGAGCAATTTGCATATTCGAATATAGTGGTGCATCCCCAGAGATGCAAGCTGTGGTACCAAGTGGTATAATTTTTATAATACGGTGTACAGTACCAGCAAAGGAAGATTAGCACATCCATACAAGGATCTAAAACCACCTGAACAATATTCCACCACATACAGTACTACTGTAACTTTTGTTAAATGTGTAAAACAGTCATTGAAGGACCTCTTCCACTCATTAAATGATTAATGGCAAGTTATACATATCCAAATCAACTGTTAATGAGATAATTCACAAAGATCTTGCTTTTTATAAAATTAAAAAAAGCATAAACCACAAGTCCATAAGCTATTCCCCGAACATGCTTATGATAGAAAGATGAAAAGCTAAATACTATGGAAAATACCTTGTATGTGATGGATAAAAATATGTTGTAATATTGGACTTGAGTACACTTGAATGGCTGCAACAAGACTGATTCACTACCAAGCACAAGATGCTAAGGAGGTTCCAACATAATAATGATAATATGTGACTGCCACAGGTTTCACACACACAACTGAAACATTTAAACTTGATAAAGTGCAAATCAAACTCCAGTTAGTACCAGGAGAAAGAACTGATACCAATTATGTAAGAAGAATTGCCTTCACTGTATGGTCAGGATGCTAAGAAGGTATGGTTACATCATATCTAACTCTAGACAGAACTTCTATAGACTTCGTATAATGAAAGAGGTGTTTACATTATCTACCTTTCCCCGACACACCAGAAATGTTATCTGATCATCCACCCACAGAATTCTGTGATATTTGTTGATATTTATTCATGGAATATTTGTACACTAGAACTTGTCTAGAAATTTTGTTTGCAAGTTTCTGTTATGACTAAAACAAAATTTCCAAAATAGTTTTACAGAACCAACAGAAATCCACTCTAGCTTACTGTTTCAGAGAATGTTTGCATACGAAAATTTGTCTAGAAATTTTGTGGTAAATTTCTGTTATGACTAAAACAAAATTTCCAAATTAGTTTTACAGAACCAACAGATATCCACTCTAGCTTACTGTTTCAGAGAATGTTTGTATACTAAAATTTGTCTAGAAATTTTGTGGTAAATTTCTGTTACAACTAGAACAAAATTTCAAAATAATTTCACAAAACCAACAGAAATCCACTTCTAACTTACTGTTTCAGAGAATGTTTGTATACTTTATTTGTCTAGATATTTTGTGGTAAATTTCTGTAATGACCAGAACAGAATTTCCAAATAATTTCACAGAACCAACAGAAATCCATTTCTCTGCTGTTGTAAATAACTATCTTACAGAGAAATAAGAGTAATCAACATGCTTATGCACTACTTAAATTTGTTGTAGACTGTTATTGCTCATAAGTTTTCAGATACTAGTGTTACTTTTCAACTCCTTAAATCACATTAACAATCTCTCTTAAAGATAATACACACAAAACATTGATATCTTAATAACTTCTGTATAGAACCATAAAGGTTAATTATATTTTAGTTTAAAAACAGACATACAAAATAGGTTATTTTCTGATGAATATTAGTTATAAACACGTGTTATACACTTTCTGTACTTTCAGGATAAATAAGAACTTTATCTCTAGAACCTTATTAATTAACTTTTGTTCCAATCATATATTCATTACAAATAATGTAAAGCATTAACATTTTGGAAAATAACTGCAGTATGATACAACTGTAAAATTAATCATTCCAAATAACACATTTTCTGCTTTCATTTAAAAACATGATTATTAAAAATATGAAATACATTTTCATCACCAAATTAGTAGAGAACTTTAAACTAATTTAAAATAGAATAGCATATATACCTCATAAAATACTGCATGATTGGAAAACATAAAGCAAAATCCTTTTAAACCTTTGTTACTTAAAAAAATCAAAAACAAATAGGTGTCTAAAACACCATTTTTATATATACTGTGATTGTATAAGAGTAGTGACACAAACCTAGGTTCTGAATATAAACCCTACAATACTGTAACGTACAAAAGCTCATTCCTAGGTGAATACAGTGTTGTTTCTTTGAAACTGTGACATATACACATTTTGTTAATATTTCCAGAGTACTTTATACTCTTGACTAGTTATGTTTACACCCAATATAAAGCCATTTGGGTCAGCTGGCTGGCAAATTAAGTCATCAGTGTACATGTTTTTTGTAGATATGGACACAGGAATGGTGGCCTAATATTGTTACTCTGCACTGTATACACATTTTGTTCATATTTCCAGAGTACTTTATACTCTGACTAGTTATGTTTACACCCAATATAAAGCCATTTGGGTCAGCTGGCTGGCAAATTAAGTCATCTGTGTACATGTTTTTTGTAGATATTGACACAGGAATGGTGGCCTAATATTGCAGTGTTCTGTTTGCTTGAAGTGATGGGTTGTTTTTGCACTTTCACATTTTAAGGTTCTGTAATGCATTGATCTTTTGTGATGACTTGAGAGTTCTGAGTTCAAGTCTCAATCAAAAAAGATAACTTTACATTCCAATCTGTTTCAAAATTTAACTTATCAAACAGGAATTTTTTAACATACGTTATGTGATTCATCTTTTAGCAGAACACTATGCAATATATGTGTAACACAGCTGTCGATAGAAATAATTGATCCGTATAAACATAAAATTCTTAAGAGTCCTTTATAAATCATTTTTAGTTTTGCTAAAAAGTAAATATTGCTTTTAAAAGATTAAGAGTTTTTGTACCAACAAAAACAGGTAAGGAATATTATAAATAAAATG